AACTTGCGGACATCCACGGGGGATGATGGCTCAAGCGGGCGAAGGTCGAAGGATCTCTGGCCTCGGAAACGGCAAAGCGCCTGGCCACGTGCCTCGGACGCAGCGTTTCGAGGCCAAGACACCACAGAGCCAGGTCACCACCCCCCAGCGGCAGGCTCAAGAGGCTCAGGGCGTGGAGAGCCTGGCGAAGGCCAAGGACGATAAGCAGCAATCAATGGATAAATCTACAACGGTTTGGTTTGTGAGAAGTGCCTCGCGGACCAGGCTGCCAATGTCATTAGCATCGCCAGCGCTAAGATTGCCGTCGTCGATGTTGAATGGAAAGTGCAGGCAGTTGCCCAACGACGGATCCCACCAACCAACCAGCAAGAGCAGGGCGCCCCAAATGTGGATTTGGACGGGAGTGAGCAGCAAGCGCACCATCGCCGAGGTGCTCGCCGCCGACCCCGCAGGGGGGCAGAAGCTCGCACGGTCCTGGCTGAGGCTGCCCCTGTTGGCCCACCTGCTGCGACTTCTGCGGGGCGCGCCAGGGCCAGCGGACCTGACATCGTCGAAGCTCCACCGCGAGCCCTTTCGACACCCCCACGGCCGACATCCGCCAGCATGCAGCTGCCCGGCCCGGCGCCCCGCGTGCCTCTGTGTCGTTGTGCGCGGCCGCGGGCCGGCCAGGCGAACCAGGCGGGGGTCGTTGCCAGGAGGGGGCGAGCAGGGGCGGCGCCGCTCCGCCGCTCGCCTTGGCGACGGCTCGTTTTGAGCATGGCGTGGCGTGCCAGGACACGGGCGCGAGCAGTCAAACCCAGGGGCGTGTTCTGCCAAACCGTTCAGTTTTGCGGCGGCGAGGGTCACGTCACGGGGGACGCGCGCCTAAGTGTCGGGCGATCTCTCCGACAACGCCTACTCCGTCCCGTTTCCCCAGAAGCGCCAAGTTAGTGGCGGCAGGCTTCGTGGAGCCAGGAAGAGCGCTCTTGGGCGTGGCCGGGAGTTCTGCGGGGAAGAGCCCGCGATAAAAGAAACGTTGCCTGGCGGCGGGGTGGCGACCCTGAGGAACGGACTGCCGCCCACAGCCCGTTGCCGTCTCGGGCTGCTGGGGCTGGCCAAGCCCTCGAGCCCCCAGCACAGAGCGGGGTCTTGCTGATCACTGGCGCGCCGGCCAGGAACCAACGGAGGTGGATGAAGGCCCGCCCCCCCCCATCTCCACCCCTGCTCCGCCTCCTCCCTCAGACCCCCATCTTGCCCCACAAGTTTCCCCCTCTCCCCCTTGGGTCGCCTGCCACAGATGCCCCGCGAGGAGGAGCAGCGCCAGCTGGGCACATCGATCGGGACGGGCATCGGAAAGGTCGTGAACAGCCCTGGGGACGGACCACCACCAGTTGACGACGACAGGGAGACATCGGAGGAAGAGGAGGATGTGCAGGCGGAGAACAGAGGATGTCGGAATAAGAAAACAAGGCAGGAGGGAAGGTGGTGGTGGAAGGCATGGAGGAGCGACGAGGGAAAGGAGCAGGTGGAGTCGGAGGAGGACTTGAGTGCAATTAGGGGGACGGCACGGCAGCATGAGGTACGAGGACGACGGATGGGAAGAAGCGGAGGAGGGAGAGGCGGAGGAGGAGGAGCAGGAGGAGGAGGAGGAGGAGGAGGAGGAGGAGGAGGAGGAGGAGGAGGAGGAGGAAGAGGGGGAGGGGGGGGGAGGGATGGAGGGAGGGAGGGACGGAGGGAGGGAGAGAGGGTGGAGTTGGAGTTGGAGGAGGAGGAGGAGGAGGAGGAGGAGGAGGAGGAGGAGGCTGCAATGTACCCATACAAGGTTTTCTTTGCATTGCGGGGGCCCCCATGGAATGACGAGTGGCTGGTCGGTCCGCCAGTCAGACGAGGCCGCCAGTTTTGAAGGATCCTCCCTCCACAAGAAAGACGCCCAGGGTAGCCCCGTTTTGAGAAGCACATACGCTCCATCCGTTTAAGCGTTGCAGGACGTCCGAGTCGTGGACGCATGCTCTTCGGACGCCCCACGCGAGAGCACTTCAAGGAGGCCCCGGGATAGCTTCATTTTGACAAGAACGTGCCGTCCATCCTTCGAAGCGTTGGATGTCGATGTCGTGGACGTATGCTTCGCAGAAGTCTCACACGAGAGCCCCATTTCGAAAGAGGAGCCGCCTTCCATTCATGTTAGTTGTTGCACATTATGGAACGCCAGGTCGTGGATTCCGAGGAAAGGGTCACGTGAGTGTATATGGTGGATATCGTATTCGAATGTGCGCGAGGTCGTTGGGAGACCTCAGTGATGTGGGGGCGTTTGTTAAGGAATGTGCCCAGGAGGCCGCATACCATGGAGGATTCCTATCTGATGAGGGTGGCGGTGATATCTATGGCCCATCCTCGATAGGAGTTTTATCAGCGTCCCGACCCTGCATTCCTTATCATGTTTAAAGGTTTCTTGTCCAACGCCCCCACCGTCTTGGAAAAGACTCGCCATCCACTTCTTGAAATTAAAGACAATTCGGAAGCCGAGTATGCACGGCGCCAGGGCGTGAACCCCTTTTTGAAAACCACCCGCCCTCTATCTGTTCTCTGGTTGTGTAAAACCATGGTGTACGGTGCCAACAAGGCGAGAGCCGCATTCTGAAAACCGTCTGCGGCCCACGCGGCGAGGCGATCTGAATTCATCTGCTCCTTGAGGCCTCCTGCGGCGACGAGGGCGATGAAGATGAGGATGTGGATGCTGTTGGTGCTGGTGGCGACGGCGACCCTGAGAGCGTTTGAGGAGGGATTGCCGCGTCTGGGAGCGTTTCGGCGCGTTTGGCAGCGCCTGGGGCAGCCAGGGGAGCGCTTGGGCCCCGAATTTGAGTCGACGAGGGGTGCCCGAAATGTATAACAGTTATATGTACCGGCTATAGATGGATTGAGGTGCTGCGCCTTTTGTGCCCAGAAACACTTCGAGGCCAAGGGGTGGGTCGATATCGGGGATCTGCTGAGGGGGTCCGAATGCAGTTCTTTTGCGCAGGATGATGAGGGTTGGGCCAGGCGGGTGCGCACCGAGTTGCATTTTGCATGGGCGTTTGGGGGGTTGGGTCGGATGGAGGTGCATCGGATCGTGTTTGCAACATCGCATTGGGCAGGTTGGCTCGTATGGACGTGCACGCGCGCACACATCCTAAAATATATGAGAGCCTGCCCCTTGCACCCCCCTACCCTCTTTCGAAAAAACGGATCCATCGGAGACTGGAGATTCCCTAGGGGCCCATCGTCGATCGATCGGAGTTCAGAGATCGGTTATTCCTCAAGGCCCAATCTCCGCTCGATCGGAAGATCCCCCCAGGCCAGTTTCCGATCGATTGGAGATCGGAGATCGAAGATTCCTGGGGCTCATCTCCGATTGATCGGAGATAGGAGATTGGTCCATCAAGAATCTCCGATCTCCGACCTGATCGATCGTGCATGAGCCTCCCGGCGATCTCCGATCTCCGATCTCCGACCGATCGGATATGACCCCCCCCCCCAGGAATCTCCGATCTCCGATTTCCAATCGTTCGGACATTGGTCCTTGATGAACCTCCGATCTCCGACCTCCGATCGATCGGAGATTCGATTCCCAACGGTCTCCGATGTCCGACGTCCGATCCTCTGGAGATGGGCTCAGGAGGGATCTCCGATCTCAGATCTCCGATCGATTGGAGATGAGCTGCAGGCGGTCTCCGATCTCCGACCTCCGATCGCTCGGATACGATCCCCCAGGCGATCTCCTATTTCAGATCGATCGGAGCTGACGATCGGGAGGGCCCGTTGCATGTGCGTCGTTTGATAGAATCAGTTGGCGCCGTTAGTTGTTCGGTTTTGGTATGCGTGCAATAGGGTTGTTGTGGTGGCCCAAAATATACACTCGAACAGCATCGGCATTCATCTCGCCATCATGCCGTTGTCCGCGGGCGAACGTGTCGCTGAGCTGCGTCGCCCCGATGGTGACGAGTCTCGCCTGATTATGTTCACGCGGGCGAGTTGCTTGCGCCTGGGCATCTCGTGCATGCCCGATCTGGCCTGATCGAACACATGGTCTGCCCCCAGCACATCGAAGTGATATTTCCGTTGGTTGTCCTCTTGCTCTGCTGCATCTCGGTTGGGTGATGGATGTTGGTCAGGCTGGCTTCAGATTTCCCGTGGCATCGCTCTAGCGTGCTGCTAGCATATGTGATCACTGTTCGCGATCGCCCAGATTGCCGAAGCAAAACGGTGAGACCCGAAGACGTAGCAGCCGAGCGGGTGGTGGTTGACTTCTTGTTCCACCCAAACAGCGAGGTATCTGCCGCGCGCAATTTGGTCGACTTAGCAATGGGGTGCGAGGGCCGCGTCGACGAAGAGGAGGTGAAGACAATCTTCGAGATCGGCGGGCAGCTGGCAATGGCGGGCCTGCCGGCGGTGCCGCGTTTGCCTGACATGGCGCCTTCAAGTGCGAAAGCGCAGGTCATTGTCCAGTTCGCAAGGGGTGGGAAGTATAGCGTTCTGCGCCGCTTCATCTTCGATCAGGGCAGCTACCTGAAGCAGCGCGACTCGCGCGCGTGCGTCGTGCGGGTCGGCGACGTTTCCACTGGCAGAGGACTAAGGCGCGTGGGACCAGCGCAAGAACTTCAATGCGATGCTCGACCACTTGCACGGCTTCCACGCTCGTCTTCTGGAGCGTCGCTTGCAAGGGGCAATCCGCCGATCAGCAGGGCGAGTGATTGCCGCGGGAGATCCGCGGCGGTGTCGAGTGCATCCACGAGCTTTGCCATGAGATGGCTGGCGCCAGTGCAATCGAGGCTCAGGGGTGGGCGTTGTTACAGACCAAGGTTCGATCAAGCGCTTGCTCTGGATGGCCCGCCGCCCAGATCGAGACGGCGCTGCTGAACATGAGCAAGGCGTCGCGCGCGCCTTCGCCACGCCCCCTGGGGCCATGGCCCTCCGTGCCCCAGGAGTTGGGGAGACGCACTTGCGCCGCGTCGCCGCGCGGCGCGGAGTCGGTGCGCCGCGCGGAGCATGTGCTTCGACCAGCGGCCAGAGCTTCGACGCGGGAGGCACACGGGCGTCTTCCTTGACAGGGCTACCCCCGCGTACGAGGGCATCTTGCTGGACGGCCCTTCGCCGCGTCGCATTGACGTCGAGGACCTGGGGGCATGCGGCGCAGCCCGTGCAGCTAGCCCTTCCGGCGCGCGGTGCGCGCGCCCGAAATTGGCGAGGTGCAATTTCCACGCGCTGCTCAGTGACTCCTGGCCCGAGGACGCGGAGCCGCTCCCGTCGACGGACTTTTCCCTTGAGGTGAACGCGCTGGAGAAGCCGCGTGGCCACCTGTCCGAGTCGCGCAGGCTCGCTGTCGCGCGGCACTTCTTGGTCACCGTGGCAGGCAGGCGCGCGGCGTGCGTTCGCGCGCCGAGCTCGGATCACTGCGCCCAGATCTTTTAGTTCAACCAGAGCAACGTGGCGGTGGACTTTCTGCCCCCAGCCAGCAAAAGTTGTTGGCTGGGCTCTATCAGGGTATCGACCGCGAGGATTGCGTGCGCCTGGGTTACGCCAGGCACGTCGAGGATGAGTTTGCTCTCCTGGTGCGCCAGAAGACCGCCGGAGATCTCGCATCGTGGTGGGTGTCTCGCACGGTCGACCGCCCGTCGCTGGTTGTAGGCCCGGCGGCTACTCGGCGGATCCGCCATATCCCTGCGATGTCTGGCACGCCCGCGTCCGAGGGCGGCCCGCGCGTGCGTCCTGGCGCTGGCGGCGCGCGCCGTTTCCAGTTGCCGAGCGCAGGGTCCATGGCGCCGCCGGGCCACGCATGGCGCGCCTCCCGCTTCCCCCTCGTCTCGTCGAGGCGCGAGGCTTCGGATTTGGACCCGGTGGGCGTAGCTCGTTCTGCGAGGCGCAGGGCGGGGCCTGCGGCCCGCCAGCCCGCCTGCCGCATCGAGGTGTTCCCAGGATATTCACTTGCAGAGATCCTCGGCCCCGGCTGGCGCCGGCGGCGCGGGGTCGGCCTCGAGCGCGGCCGTCAAGCTGGGCGCCGACCCCAGCGAGGCCCCCGAGGATCGTCGTGACAGGTAAATGAAAGCCATCGCCGGGCGGGCAGCGCCCCGTTCCAGCCATGATTCAGATCCCGAGCGAAGACGAGGACGACGTGCCGCGCGATCTGCGCGTTTACCTTCCACGGGGCAATCGCTCGGGGCGACGGGCCCTGCGCGGGTGCGACGGGGGATTCGCGATGCAGCATCCTGACTGCCGCCTCTTGGATGCCCTGAACGCCATCGGCAGCCCTGCGCTGTGCGGGCGGACGGGCTCTTGCGCCTTGAACGAGGCAGAGCGCGCGATGGGCCTGTTCGGCGCGGGTGGCCGCCGCTCGAGACCTCGGTCGGCCAGGGGCTCGCGGGAGGAGCGCAGCGTCGTTGTCTACGGTGGCGCGCTCGATCATCCAAGGCGCGCCGCTGCTGCGCTCGCGGAGGAGCCGCGCGCGTTTCTTCGACGGGCTGCAGGGGGAGGTCAGCGCCAGCCGCTCCGCCTGGCGCATGCTGCCCGACGGCGTGCCTTCCGAGAGTTGCGATGTGTGCCGGGTGGTCTTCGCTGCGGCGCGACCGCGAGGATGCGAGACATTTGCGTCGCGTACAAAAGGGGCGCTGATGCCTTGCAGGCGCCCGCGGCGCGCGTGCAGAGCGCCAGTCGGGCATCGGAGTTCTTGGCTCGGGAAGAGTGCCCGCTGAGCGGGATCAGGGCAATAATTTGAGCGATGTCGGCCGCCGAGAAAAAACGCGCCCGGCAACGTAGCGCTCGTTGTCGATGTCATGTTTTTTGGCTCGTTGCATCGCTGCAGAGAGAGAAGGCGTCGATCTGGAAGTTTGCCGAGGGAGCGCCGCGGCCGACGGGGGAAGGTCGACGGACGCACTGGGGGTCGCGGCGCCCGAAGCTCACCGAGCCGCCGCCGCCGCTGCCGCGCCTTTGTCGCTGCGCGCCGCTTTCGCTTGCGCTGCAATTTGTTTTGGTTCAAGTCAGCAGGCGGAGCGCGCCCCAGGTTTCGGGCGCGTGGCGTTTCGCGGCCAAGCGCGGAAGGGGCCGCGATTCGGCCCGCGTGACCCGCGCAGTAAAGCCGGCGAAGAAGCCTGCGGATGTTCGGGGCCAAGTCTGTCTGCAAGAAGTCGAAGGTCGCCCCCTCCCCCCCCCCGCCCCCCCGACGCGCCGGGGGCCTCCGCCGACGTTCACAGCGATGCCCGATCGAAGTCTGCATCCAAGAACAGCATTCAGCTCGCCGCGATGTCTGACGAGGACCTCAACGCATTCCTCTACGAACTCGTCTTCGCCGAAGATGCGACTGGAGCCGCGTGTCCCCGACGCGGCGCGGGCGCGCTCAGCTCGCTGCGACGCCGGGCTGGAAGGCAATCCTACCACAAGTGTTCGGCGAAGGCGTGCAGATCTTGGGTCTTCCCATGGAATGGTTGCCCACTTCTTCGCCATGGCCGGCATGCTTCTCCATTGCGGGCGCAACGGGGTGACATCCAGTGCGTATGCGCCACCGACCCAGTGTGTGCTACCATATTTCTCGCGGTTCACTCCAGGAAGTCCGCGGCGGACTTGCGTTCGCTGTTCATGTTGGCGCGGAAGATGCGCGCTCGGAAGATTGAGAATACCATGGCGTTTGGTCGCGCGCGGCCGCTGCCGCTCACGTCTTGGCGCGACGTCGATGTTGGCGAGGCGCAGTTTGGCTGGGCAGCGAGTCGAGTTCCTCGCAGCCCTGAAGATGAAGTAATGGGCTGGGAGAATAGGCTCGGTCGGCATCGCGCGGCGGGTGCATCCACGAAGCTCCATGCTCATCAGATCGAATGGCCCCCCGACGGCTGCGTCCACGGCCGATTGCCGAACGCCGGTGAGAATCCAGTGCCAGGGCGCATCTGCAGGACCAGCGCGTCGGTGTCCACGCTGACTCCGCGCGGGCGCGCAGGGGGGGCGACGGCCCCGGGCGCTGCGAGGCCGCGTAGTGAACCAGAAGGAATGCATCCTCAACGAGGTCACGGGCATATGCGCCTGGGTCAGGCCCGAGCGCGCGAAGACTGGCATTCGCCGCGCACAGGGGAATATGACCAGGAAGGCTGGCGCGCAGACTACATCGATTGTTGATGGAAGCTTGTGAAGACAAGCATCGGCTTAAATCGGGCATCGAAGCCGGTTTCTCGCTCGTTCTCATGGCCGCGCGGTCCGAGCAGTTCCAGCTTCGGGCGCGCGGCGCCGACCCTCGGCAGGCCATGGCGGAACTTACTGGCCGACCTGCATGATATCGCATACTGCCGCACTCGGGTAACGCAGCTTTGTGCAGGTGGTGCGCGAGTCCTTCAGGTCATGTTCGGCTCGTAGTTTTGCAGCGCCTTGCCGTCCAGAATGCCAGCCCCAGCAAGCTCGTTGGAATGTGGGATCTATCTTTGGCTGGGTCGTTGCCGTATGCGTATTGTATAGTATGTATATCGTCGTCGCCAGTGCAGCGGTGGTCGTCTCAGCGCGGTTCTGGATTCGGTTGTTAGCCACAGCGTGCATCGTGTTCATCGCATTATCATCTCTATATTGCGTGCTTCGTGGGTGTTATCCCAATCTCAATGGTATGCCAGTTCGCTTTGAAGGTTTTCTTGTGCGACCCTTTTGCGCGCAGCTGCCAGCGTCAATCTTGGTCTCTATGACGCGAGACGTCGCCAACTGAAGGCACCCCTAAACCAGAATGCACATGGAACAGTGTCCGGGTGGCATTCGGACACCACGACCGCACATGAAACCATTGCTTCCCGGTTCTGCAACCGGAGTCGCCACGCGCCACCAGTGATGGTTGCAAGAGCTGCCAGGTGGGTTTTAAGAATGGGCCTTCGGCAGTTGTACATATATTTATATGTATATGTATATGTATATGTGTATGTATATGTATATGTATATGTATATGTATATGTATATATATATATACATATATAAGGGGGTCCCAATCTTTCTTTATTTTTCTCTCTCTCTCTCTCTCTCCCCCTTCTCTCTATCTATGTGTATATATTTATATATTTGGTTTATAGTGTTTCCTTTCTCCTTTTTTTTTTTTTTTTTTTTCCCGGTGTGCTCTCTTTCCCGCTCCCCCTGTTTTTCTGTCTATTTATCTCTCTCTCTCTCTCGTTCTCTCTCTCTCTCTCTTTCTCTTCTTCTCTCTTTCTCTCTTTCTCTTTTCTTTATCTCTCTCTAGACACATCTATATATACATATAAATTTAAGTTCTTCTTCCTCTCTCTACCCCTTTCTCTCTCTCTCTCTCCCTTTCTCACTCTTTCGTTGGCGTTGCTGTTTCTTCGTTTGAGGGGGGGGGACTTGCAGGCAAATCGCGCGGGGGACCAAGCGATAGTCACGCTGCCGGCAATTATGACAGCGCGATCCCCGTCCGATTGTCGTCGCGCGTCGATCTTGCAATGGTTGGCTTGTTGGGCATTCTTTTGGGTTCTCATGGGAGTTCCCGAGAAACTGTTTGATCGTTGCCTTCTGCCTGTTCTGCCTTTGGGGGCTTCTCTGGGCGCTTTGCTGCGCGCGCGCGCCCGCGTGGCGCGCCCGTTTTTGTTGGGATTTGGCGAGCGCGGTAGCGCAGATGGAAGGAGTAAAGTAGGAGTACAGCGATAAGTTTGAGCGCGCGGAAGGGCGCGATGGGGGGGTGCGGGGGCGGGGGCGGGGGCGGGGAAGAGAGGGCGATGGGGGGGTGGTGGGCGGGGGCAGGGCGGGGGGGGGGAGGGCGAAGATGAGGGCGGGGAATGAGCGTCGACGAGGGAATATGAGAACTCGGTTGGATGGGGGGCGCCGAAGAGGAGGTGGAGGAGGGGGAAGGGCGAGGTCGGCAACAAAAGGGAGGGGGGGCCGATGGGGGGGGCGGGAGGAGAGGGCGAGGGCGCTGGAAGTGCAGGGGCGCGCGGGGCGACGGAGGGGGCGGGGCGGCGGTGCCGGGGGGGGGGGGCGGGGGGCGGGCCGAAGGAAGAGGGGGCGTTGCGGGCGGGGGGTGATTGACGAGGGGCGTAATTTTGAGGTGGTCAGTCGCAACGGCGGCATGATGCAGCGCGTGCGCGGCGTTGCGCGCGCCCCCGCACGCGCGAGTTGATCTGTTCCATTGCGATGCGTAGACTGTGTCGCGTAGCTTGCGTCGGTCACCTTCCCGACGCAATGGCCCTGTGAGCCTTCGCCAGGGGGCGTCGCGCGCGCGTGCCCCGTCGGCCGCGAAACCCAGGCGCTTCGGATACCGGCGCTACAGTCATCGCGATCGCCCGAATGCTGTCGCTTTTCTTGCTCGAGGCTGTTGAGTCAGAACGGACTCGCCACCCCGTCGAGGAAATCTACAGATTTAGCGCGGGTCATTGACCGCGGCGCCCTTTGCTCCTGAGCAGATCCTGTAGGTTTGGCGCCGTCAAAGCTTGATCTTCATGATGTTCGCGCATGTGGGGCGCTTTGCGGAAATGTTGCGCCCAGTGTATCTCCAGCAATGGGGCCCACTCGGAGTTTTTCCCCACATCCAGAGTGGGATTGTTGTTTTCTCTGGACACCTCGCGCAGGAACCTCACCTCACCTCCCACCCCTCTCCCCTTTGATCACCATCATCATCATCATCATCATCATCATCATCATCACCATCACCATCACCATCACCATCACCATCACCATCACCATCACCATCACCACTCATCCTCACTACTCATCATCATCCTCATCATCGTCACCATCATCATTATCACAATCATTCACACTCACACTACTATCATCCTCATCATCAACAACATCATCATCATTCGATCAATCATCGTCACTGTCATCCTTATTTTATCATCATCCTCATTCGGTCATTCATCATCATCATCATCATCATCATCATCATCATCATCATTATCATCATCATCATTATCATCATCGTCATCGTCATCGTCATCATCATCATCATCATCAACACTCATCATCATCAGCAGCATCATCCTCATCATCACTCGCTCACTCATCACTTCGTCACCACTCACCCCCTAGCTTGAATATGGGGGACGTCTCGAGCGGGAGCCTCGTGTGTGAGTGAATTGCGGGGACGTCTCAGGCGGGAACCCTCTCCCTATGGGGCCCGCACCTCATCTTTTTAATCCGAGCGGGTCATCGGAACCATGTAACTGTCCTCACTTTTGGGGTGCTGAGGCCTGAGTTTGGAGGAAGTCTCAGGCGGGAGCCTCGTGTGTGAGTGGATGGCGAGGAAGTCTCAGGCGGGAGCTCTCTCCCTATGGGGCCCGCACCTCATCTTTTTCATCCGAGCGGGTCATCGAACTTTGTAGCTGTCGTCATTTTTGGAGTGCTGAGGCCTGAATGTCTCAGGCGGGAGCCCTCTCCCTATGGGGCCCGCACTTCATCTTTTAATCCGAGCGGGTCATCGGAACCATGTAACTGTCGTCACGTTT